TTTTGTGGTTTTTAAAAAATACTATTATTTTCCTCAATTAAATTAATAGGTTTTGTAATCTATACCAAATTTTGTGTTGCTTTTTACCACAAACAGTCTATATAACACCTTTACTATAAGTTTATTAGGGTCCATAGGTATATTGATCAGCAATTGCTCACTTTTTTTGTTTACTTTATTCCATATGGTTGATTTCATTTTAATTATTTTGTTTATTAATAATAAAACATTAGTTTTTTCGTTTTTATTATCTTTGTTTTGTTTACAATTCAAATAAATGATATTTTTTTGAATTTAAAGGGCATATTGGTTTTTCCACTCTTTCAAGTAATTTAGAGAGAATGTTCATTTTGCAATTTTATTTTTCATATCAAGTTTTTCCCTCAATTTGAGTGGGCTATAAACTTTGCAGTGTCATAAAAACTGACCAATAAGAGATTGTTGCATGAAATTTGAAATTTTTAAATGAGTATAAAGGAGTATGTCCTACTTTAATATCTTTTTGGCCCATATTTACACCAAGCTGATCGTGTTTAGATTTTTACACCAACAAATTGTTAGAGTCTTGAGGATTATCTATCAAAAAAGCTCGATCAGCTTGGCATCATAGTTATCTGGTAATTTATAAATGCATATATTTATATATAAATATATATTCATGTATAAATATATGTTAAAAAGTTTTTTTGGAGTTCAAAATTATTTTTAAGTTATTAAGTGTAGTTTTATATTGTTTTCTATCATCCTTGAGCAAAAAAATGTGTTAAGAAAAAAAAAAAAAAAAAAGGGAGGGGGGGGGGCAAAATTGTATGTAAGTTGGACATACTCCTTTAAATAAAAATAGTAAAGAAAATAATTTATAAAATTGTTGCTCCCACGTTAAGGGCGAGGGGTTAAAGTTTAAGGGTTTTTTGTTTCCAGGCTCCGATCATCACAATTTTTTGCAAAGCATCTTTATTTGATATTTGATATTATAATATTTGGAGTTAGCTCCATATCTGGAAGTTAGCTGTTTCTAACACCAAAAAATGGTTCTGCCACCCCTGAAAAGATGTATCTGATTTTATGTGGCAAAAACATTTCATGTATTTTATTCTAACTGGTTTTGTAATAAACTTGTTTTAACAGTAATACATATACAAATATTTATAAGATTTTGTAAATGTGATTCATATTTTTATATAGTTAAAACATGAAAACTATTGATATTTATTTTTATATAATACAAGAAAACTTGAAGTTAGCTAATCATAATATTTTTAATGCAGTTATAAATGGCACGAACTAAACTGCATATAATAACTTGTAATAATAATAAAATAATAACTAATTTATAAATTATTTTTGACAATGGTGGCTTATATGCAAAAGCTCTGAAATTTGCTCTAAAAAGCTCTAAAATTTATTACAATGGCTACAAAATAAACTGACATCAGTTCAATTTGTAATTGATAATAAGAATATTTTACTAATTGCCTACATTGATAAAGATAACTCTGCTCTTATCCAATTTAGTATCTGACAGATCAATTTTGATACTTTAAGTAGTAAAACAAAGAAAAGAAGATTGGTGCCATTAGTTGCATCATTTTAATATTCAGTTATGCGGTAACGTTTCTAGGTTGCGGTGACGTTTCTAGGTTGAGGTGACGTTTCCAAAGAAATGATGTACTCTGAAAAAAACTAGACTAATAAGAATTTTTAAAGCACTTAGGAACAGTCACAGTGAAAGGATGAAACTTAAATGAAGAGAAACACGAGAATGAATTTTTTTCGATGGTACAAAAGTCGCAAGCTCTTTAGAGCAGTGCCCATTATAGTATTTATAGAAAAGAGAAAGAGAAGCAGCATTATGAAGATGTGATAAAGGTTCTTTTTTATATAGATTATGTAGCAGTTTCATGGAATATAAGATAGATCCCTTAAACTGCATAAAAACACCTAAAATTAAAAATTAGGTATGTGTTTAATTTTCTATATGCATAAAATATTTTACAATCAGAATGCCACATTAATATTAGTCTTGTTTATAACTTTGATGTTTCAAGAAACTTAAGCTAGTAACTATGCAAAATGAACCATTGCCAGGCATTTCAGGTGTCACTATCAATCAAATAAAAAATCCATTGTACTTCATTTGTAGTATAAAAATACTCAATGTGTTATTTATGGAAATAATCCAATAGAGTTACTATGGTTAATAAATCATGTTTGCTAAGCAATTTAGGTATCCATTGTAACACAAAATGGCAAAAATAGTTTTTACAATAATTTTTTTACATAATTAAAATAATTATGGCTAGTTTGTTTAATGAAAACATTTAAGTTGATACCTTTGATCTTGATGCCATCTTGCTGTCTTTAAACATTTTCAACAATGGAATTTGTAGGTCAATCAAATAGCAAAACTGTAATTGACAATGAACAAAATGACAGAGATAATGTTACTATTATAAATTTCTGGAATTGTGTGACCATAAGCTAAGATAACTCTTCGAAAAGGGTACAGCTAAGTTTATAAAAATCTATCATTAAGCACAGAAGGTACAAAAAACTCCATGCTGTGTTTCGATCGTCTCAAAATCTCAACAAATTATTTTATAATTTCTTAAAACCAATCCAGAAACATCGGAGCTCAGCTGATTATAAAATGGCCTTAAAAATTGTTCATCAACTATAAATTGTTAATGACTAGGCAGTATAAGAGTAGTTTCGATTAAAGAGTACAATTCTGTGGTTACTTTTTTTTGTTTTTTGTTATTCACCTCCCCAAGCTGTGAGGGCCACTGTAGTCAAGGAGACTTTAATTGCAGTTACAACTTATCTCAACTCTTTAATTCGAAACATGAACCTTGAAGAACAAGGCTGCTGTGCGAAAAAGCAAATTGAGCGCTTCACTACCAGGGTGGTGGTGTAGATTGAACTCAGAACTTCTCCTTTATGAAGCGAGCACTTCACCACTAGACCACTACTGCATTATTTGTAGTGCATGATCATAGTTGCAAGTTCCTAGAGTGCAAGAAAGAACTGCTCATGGCAAACTAAAATTAGACTTGTGAATAATATGTATTCATACATGATAATGTTTTCAATGTTTTACTGTTTTAATCCTACTTAAAATTCTAATTTCGGCTTTATATTGAAGAATTACAATATTATAAAAGTTTTATTTAGAAATAATTTCAAATTTACATTATACAAATTGTCTTGCTGAGCAACGTTGAAATGATAAGAAAAAATTCTTTATACTTATTAGGTTACTTAAGGGCTGTCCATTATTACGTCAATAATTTTTTAGCTCCCCCTCCCACTTGTCAACAACTTGTCAAACTTCTAGAGACCCCCCTATAAACTTATGTTAACAGTCATTTACCTTCCCCTTCCTTCCAAAAATAAAACAAATAAATTAAAATCAAAAATTGTATATATAATGCAGACTATATACTTACATGAATCTTTTTTGTTTGCACAGTAGACTGAGACAACGACAACTTTGAAAAAATAATGGCGTTACAAGTAAACATCTTGTATGTAGTTGTTTAGTTTTTTATGTGTCTAGTCTTTTTAAAGCACAACACGGTTTTTATAAAGTAGGAATATAAATGGTTGTGTTAAAATACTGAAGGTTGCGAAAGTTTGTAACACAGGACTGCTAATTTTCGCTTCCTAATTTCCTTTTTTTTAAATAGTTAAATTTATAAAAAAAAGTCAACTTATTAATTCAATATTGTGTAAAGTTCTTTTGATGTAATTTTGTTATGAAGAAACAAGTGAGTATGTTTAGAACAAGATTGTTTTAAGAAATAAATTATGAGGAAATAATCTTTTTCAAATACTATAAATAATAGCATTCAAAGTATTTACAAGCGCTCTCACTGTCAATAATAAAGATTGCTCTTGAGGACATTATGTCAAGCACACATGATCATGCTTGTTAACAATGTACTTCAATTTTGTTAATGCAAAAAGTCATGTGATTTGCTATATTATAAACATTGTTTGTGTGTATATATTACATATTTATTGTATTTTTGTATATAATACATATTTATTATAAGCATTGTATATTTGTATATATTACATTTTTATATACCCACACATGTAAAATATAACATTAGTTTCAATCAAAAATTAAGATTTTATTGCATGTGTTCATATTTGTACATTTCCAGCCTTAGCCTTTGTTTTGTTTTTTTTAAACCTGGCTCTGGTCAAATACTAGCCATTGTCATTTACTTTCTCTAAAGTCTAAAGCTTTTTTTTGCATTTATAGTAAAAAGGATTTTGTTTGCTTTTTAGCGTAATGATTCTTTTCCCTTCATAATGAGAAATCTCTTTTTTTCAAGTGTAAGGTTGTAGGTCATTGTCAATGATCATTATATAAATATATTATATAAATACACATTAACTTAAATTTAAAAATGCACATAAAAATCTGTTACAGAGAATGAATCACTTTCTGGAAGAAAAAAAAGATAATAAAATAATAAGAACTTTTACACAATAAACAAAGTTATTTTATTAAGTTAAACAATAAATAAACAAGTTCTTTAATAAAAGTTGTAAACATTTCATATATTTTGTTTATTTAAAATTACTTTTAATTTAAATAATTGTATTTAATTGTTTAAAATGTTATTAGATATGACTGGTAATAAGGAGTATAAAACATTTGCTGAAGAGTTTGCTCAATTGACCCCTACTCATCAACAAAGATTGAAATGGACAATAAGAGTTGCAGGTGCTTGGATGGCTATGGTTATAACTGGTGCAAGTGTATTTTTATTAAGCAAACCTTATATGGATAGAAAAAGAGAAGAACGGATAAAAGCTGGCAAAATGAGTGACTATTCAATTCAGACAACTCCAAATAATAATGACTCTAGTTATATATCTTTCACACAAAATTTGCCAATATCTTACAGCCAGCTAAGTCCTCCTGATTATGTGGTTGATGTTATAGAAAGTATTATTGAAGAAGAAAATCAGTCCAAGTAAAATATTGTTGTATAACAATTCTTTAATGATTGTAAATTGGAAAGTGTTTTTATTCTATCAAATTATGCAGTATTTATTGCCTTATCACAGCTAGAAGTTATTTAAAAAATTAAGTATCCCTGATTGTAGTTTCTTATTTTCTATAATTATTATGTTTTTTTTATGTAAGTTTTTATATAATTTTGTTTAATTATTGTTTCTTTCACATTTGTGTAGTTTGGGTTTCATTAATTTTATTATTTAAGTGTGACATTATGCAAGAAGTCTAGCTTTTTTTTACAACCAGATGCTCACCTGACTTTAATCTTTTTTGCAGATTAGGACTGAGTATTTATAGTGTGATAATATTTTTTGGAAGACTACCATCCAAACTTTCCAAAATCTTTTTACCTTTACCTACAATTATATTAATGTTTTTATACCAGAATTTTATTTCTAGTTTATTTGTTTTCAGCACAGCTAAAAAGCCTCACCTGCCCTAATATAGAATCAGTTTATTGTCAGATATACTTAGATAAATTATATCTGTACTCAATTAAACATCTGTAGGGATTTCAGTAGATATATTAATTCAGGCTTTGCACAGGCAGTACTTTCAAAGGTGTTTTAAAATGACAAAAAAGTTTTTTTTTCCATTAAAGTTCTTTTCTTTCTTTGTTTGATAACCATCTGGATTAAGTTCCATATTTAAAAGTTAGCAAAATATATTTGTCCTCTGTTGACCTAAATCTGTGTGTGTAGATTTTCGGTATCAGAGGTCACAGTTGTATATATTACATATATTATACTATCATTTAGTTAAGGGCAAGGGCACAGTTGGTAAAAAGGTCAGGTTTAGCCCTGATCGTTTACTATTTTAATATATTAAAATACAGCAACTATAGTAACAGTTTTATGTCATATTATGCATTGGTGATTGTCAAAAAAATATTTAAACAACTTGAATGTTTCAATTTTACAACATATTTTACCAAAATGTTTTAGTTTTATATTTTTGATAAACTTATTGTCAAAAATCATATCTTTATCCTGGGCAAGTTGAAAGCAGGAAGGAAAGGAAGGAAGCTGCTAAAGTAAATTTTCATAATATGTTTAGAATTATTGGAAATTCTTCAACAAAGTTATTTAATAAGTCACTTAATAACATACAAAAAGAAAATAAACACAATAACACACACAAAGAAATTTTTTATTAAAAACTTAAAAGTTTTAAGTTAGAAATATTTAAACTTTAAGCTAGTGTTATTATATAAACGTTATACTTTTAAGATAGTGTTAAATTCAAAAATATATTTGTCCTTGCATCTGTTGCATAATTTTGCATAATCACAAACTTCACAATTAGGTCATAATAAAATATACTCTCTTTAGTAGAGAGAAAGATTTGGTAAAACAATTTTAAAATAATAATAATAATACCTGCTAAAATAACAAAAAAAAAATTTTTTTATTATAAAAGTTTTTATTTTCATTTTGTTGTTGTTATTGGTGTCTATATTTTTTATTTTTATACAAAGTGTGTATAAATCAACTGATATAGATATTAGTACAGTGTACTAATATAAATATTAGTATGTGCATTGACTCTTGGTTTTAGTTTAGGCAACTAATCTTTTAATTAAAAAAAAAAGATAATTTAATAGTTTATGATTTTAATCTGGTCTTGCTTTTTAGAGATTTAAAGCAACATTTATGGAAAACTTTTTAACTGCCATGCAAGATTGTTATTTTTTTGATACAATTTATTTATTTTTTTTAAATACATTCAGTTTTTTTTATATATCTTTGTAGAAAGCATATATATTAACAAGTGTGCATCTTTTACATATTTACATAACTTTTACATAAATACATAAAATTTCAAAATATGGACCAAATAAAATTATTATATCATGAAGTTCTTGATGAAACTGCTGATTGTATTGAATCAATAACTTCAAATATGTTTGTCTGTGGAACATATCAGCTTGTTGAAAATGAAAGCAAAAGAATAGGTACGATAAAACTCTATGAGCTTGTTAAGCAACAAGATAAAATTGATGTTATTACTTGTAATGAAGTGTCTACAAATGCTGTTTTAGACATGAAATGTTTTTATAGAGAAAATGTTTTGAGTGTGGCAGATTCTTCTGGAAATGCACTTTTTTACTTGTTAGAAAATAAAAAATTGACTCTTCAATCTTCCCTTCAAATTGATTCTGATTCTTTATGTCTGTCTACAGATTGGTGTAAAACATCTAATCCTGATACATCTGTGTTTAGTCTTTCAAACGGAGAACTGGCACTAGTTAAGTATTTTGGATCATCAAATCCTGTTTTGTTAAATAAATGGAAAGCTCATAGCCTTGAAGCTTGGATTGTTGCATTTGATAATTTCAATTCAAACTTGTTCTACAGTGGTGCAGATGACTGTATGCTAAAGTTATGGGATTCTCGAGCTGGCTTTCACAAAGCTTTAATTACAAATAAAGAGTTTACAATGGGTGTTTGCAGTTTGCAGTCTCATAAGTTTAAAGAAAATATTTTAGCTGTCGGAAGTTATGATGAACATTGTACTTTGTGGGATAATCGTTACTTAAAAACACCCATAGTTAAAACAAACCTTGGTGGTGGCGTTTGGAGGATAAAATGGCACCCAAATTATGATAACATTTTATTAACAGCATGCATGCATAATGGCTTTAAAATAGTTCAATATATGGATGAGTTAAGTAGATCTACTGTGATACATTCATACAATAGACATTCTTCTTTAGCATATGGGGTTGATTGGTTATTAGATTATTGTGATTGTTCAAAATTGCTTTTAGAAGACCTGTCAGCAGTGATTGCGAGTTGTAGTTTCTATGATAAACTATTAACAATTTGGGAAGTAAACTAATTTTTTTTTTGTTAAAATATTCAAAATGTTTTGAATTTTCTAAAACATTAAAATAAAATAAAACTCTTTAGGCGAACAACTTATTTTAATAAAACTAAAATAAATTTTGTAATAATTAATTTTAATAAAATAACATACCTTTTTTGTATTTATTTTTACCTTAGTAAGTAATATACTAAGTGAATATATTCATCTTTTTTTATTTACCATTGTTAAATTTTATTTTTCATGTCTTTTATGTTATGTTCTTTTAATAATTTTTATTTGTTAAGTTTTGAATGTTTTTAACATAATCTGCTTTAAAACACCATATATTATCAGTAGATTTATTGTGTGGTCCAGTAAATGGTGGCATGTTCTAGATTTTAACTTGTGCATGTCTTTAAATTTTTTAGTGTTTTTAGCTTTTAATGTGCCTTTTAAAACTTTTTTGTATCATAAATGTTTTGCTATTTTTTTAAAACATTTAGATGAATCAAAATAAACTTTTTAATGAGGCTGCAGATTGCAATAAACATCCCATTCTTGAAGTCTTAAAAGAACAGTTAAATGGTAAATTAATTTTATAATTAGTTTCTTCTTTAATTAAAGCAAATGGAGCTGATAAATCATTGAATCTCAGGGTTCACAAGTTTATTTATAATACAACAGTATTACCCTAAAACAACTTTTTATTTTGCTTTTAAAGAAAGTTGAGAAAAACTAATAAAGATTAAATATTTAAATTTGTGTATGTTCTGTTTTAGCTATAATTTGTGTTGTTTTTTCTGCTTTAACTGTTGTTGTGTTCCAAATAATATAGCACATAGATTGCTGTGTGTCAAATAATGTAACACACAGATTGTGTGTCAAATAATAGGCACACATATTAAAGCATATTTGACAACACAACTCTGTCAAAGTTCTTTATTTTGTAATCCTGTGCACCATATTCTATAACTTAAAAATTGATTAACTTTAAATAGTTAAAATTTTAATTTTAAAACCAAGAGTCATTTATTAATAAATCAATAGAAGCTGTTTAGAAGCAAATCAATTAATAATATACTTAAATTAGACTTAATAAGTTAAACGAGACTTAATAAGTTAGACTTGTTTATTTTTTTATTATTAGGTTAATGTTCAGTTGCTCTTTAGGCAATTAAAACATTGTTAATGTCTTATTTAAGTTTTTCATTACAATTTTTTTTTTTTATTGCAAACTTCTTTTTTTTAGTTATATCAACAAAGTTTACGAGAGTACAAGAGTTTTTATCTACAAATCAATTTTTTTTAATCTACAAAAATCTTTGATATAGATATTTTAACAAAACCTTCAAAAAGGTTTGTTTTGCTTTTATGTTCCACATTACAAATGTTTCCATTTATAAATAGACTACTGACTTGGTATTTCTACAAATCATAAATCATGTGGGGATCTGGATATTCTTATTTTGAGAGTTTAAGATTTTACTGTAGATTTACTTTCATTTATATACAATAAAAGCCTTAAGAAAAAATTTAAACTTTTTTTTTTTTTTTATAGAGTTATTTGTAGTAATTTTTTTAACATCAGTTATGCACTTTATTACATAGTATTTAGGTATTTCAATCTTTATTTAATGTATATTTTTAATATTGACAAGTTTTAAAAAATTTATAAAAAATTATACAAAATGCATTCCACAAAGAGCTAACCTTCTGAATCGATAATGTAAACCATAAAATGAATGTCAACATTGTCAACCAAAAAACAAATGTTAACACTGTCATCCTTAAAACAACCTTCAAACAATCAAAGAAAGTTTATGCCAAACTCTCCATTAATTGTTAGCTATACATTGCAATGCTTTTATGATTTTTTAATGATTCATGGTTGTGTGTATATTAAAATAAACCTTTTTTTACTTTGACTTTTTACTCTGGAAGGTTAGAACTAGAATGTGTAGTGTATGTGTAATAAATAATATTTTAAAGTTGTTAAACAAAATGAGATATTATATTATTTTTAATTTCTATTATCTATGTAAATTATTATGGAAAATGTTTGCAGCATTCAAATATTTAAAAAAAATTTGAACTTTAGAATAATTGTTAAAATCATGCTTATAAAAAAAATTGATAAAAAACTTCAAAAAATAAACTTTATATAATTTTATTAAAATATAAATTATAAAACTAAAAAAATTAAATTCTATTTATTGACTAATTTAAAATAATTCTTTTTATTATTTATAAAATTTGATAAAGTTGAAAAACTTTAGTACATAAAATTTTATTATTCAATCTTTTTGATTAAGCAGGAGATTAATTCAAAATAACTTGTTAATAATCTAAAACCTAACGTTCTTGTTAATTAATCTCATGTTACACAATCTCAAGCAACAATTTCATTTATTACCATGGAGGTAAACTTAATGCAGAGATTTGATGGATACTTAAGCATATTTGTGGAGACAGTGATAATGTTAGTAATAGTGTTATTACATTTCATGCAATGTTTTCAGACAGGTTGATTCCATCTACGATGGAACTTGGTCATAAATTAAAATACATTTTTAGCTATGGAGTTGGACCTTTCTTCATAGAACTTTTGAAAGTGCAAATCTGTGTATCATAATGGCTGGCTGTTTGCTATGATAAAAGTTTGAAAAAAGTTGTTCAACAACCTTAGATAAATTTAGTAGTGAGATTTTGAGATGATTTTAGTAACAAAGTTCGATATTGGGATTCTATGTTTTTTAGACATGCCACTGCAACAAACTTCCTCAATCGAATAAATGATGATTTATCTGGTTTGGATTTATCTATACAAGTACAACTATCTATGGATGGTCCTAATTTAAACTTTCTCAGGGAAAAACAATTGAAAAAAATAGCTGGTTTTAGTAAACTAGTAAACATTTACAGTTGTAACCTTCACGTCATTTATGTAGCTTTTTAAGCAGCTACAGAAACCACAAGTTGATAGCTAAAGGCTGTCATGAAATGTTGCCTAAACAACAGGATCTTATTTTGTCTTCATTGTATTTACATAATTTTAGATGGGTCGAGCATGAATAGTATTTACATAATTTTAGATGGGTCGAACATGAATAGGTTCATGATTCAAGGAGATTTTTGGCAGAATCTACCAATTTTTTGCAAAAACAGTCATGGAAGAGTTATTTGACTGTAAAAAAAAAAAAGTTGAAGATGATCTACTTGTAGTAAAGCTTTTCTTTTTCTGCTATATCACAAATCTTTCGCAACCATATCTTAGAAAATATAAAATGATTAAAAATAGTAATTTTATTCCTGATCTTTTAGTGAAACTAGTATATATATATATATACATATATATATATATATATATATATATATATATATATATATATATATATATATATATATATATATATATATATTCATATTGTATTCGTCTAGTTTCACTAATTTTCTTTTATTATTTTTTTTAATAATTTTTTTTGCTTGAAAATATGCCGCTTAACTAACTACGATGGTTCGCAAAAAAGTTCACATTTTACCAGTTCGCAGATCGTCAGGGTTAGGGTTTCACATTCGCCACCTTTGAGGAATAGCGCATAGTTTGACACTGATGAAAAATAAAGTATTTAAAATAAAAAAAGAAATAAACATAACTACATATTGATAATTTTTAAGTGAAAAAAATTTTTTTTTTTTTTTTTTTTTGGGGGGGGGGATATTTTCCTAGAACCTTAATGTGAACAGTAAGACTAACAATATGAAAGGAAAAAACAACTAATTATAATCGAAAGTCCAATAAATATATAAAAAATCAACTCCTAATTAACAGTCGATAAAAAAACGTATGCAGAGGGGGATTTTTGAAAGTGTGCAGGTATGTTAATTTACCTCTAAACTTTGTAATTTTTCAAAGAAGGTTATACTTCTTTTATAGGTTCTTCTTAAATTAAAACTTTTATCATTTTTTCACTAGTTAATCAGTTGAGATGTGGGTGGAATTTAGTGTGAGAGTTTTTTTTGTAATTTTTTTCTAAGAACATCTTTATTTTAGTTGCTTGCTTCTTTTTTTGTCTTTTTAATTCAAAAAGTTGATGAAGATTACTAACAGGTGAAAAGTCATTTTAAGTTATCGCGGTATTTACGCAATTTTTTTGTGCATGTAAACGTCTTTCTACACGGCCCACATCCCTCTTAACAGCGAAGTTGGTTTTGTCAAAATTTGGTTTGCACACAATATAACAAACATTTTTCTATTTTCATCTTTTAAATTCTCTTTGTTGTATAAAATTTAATTCATAAAATTTATTGTTACTATTAGATGTTCATTAATTATTATTTGATTTTTTGTTTTTTAATTGTTTCTTTCTCTATTAGACAAAGGCGAAGCTTTGGAAATAAGCTCTGGATCTGGACAACACGTCGTTCATTTTGCTAAAAATTTCCCGAAATGGACTTGGCAACCATCGGAGTATGACTTGCGATGTTTAAAAAGCATATCTGAGTATATTGCTGAAAGTCAGCTTGACAATATCTTTAAGCCATTGCTTATTGATTTAAATACCTGCGATTTGTCAAGTTTAAAGGAAAACAAATTTGATCTTATACTATGCATTAACATGGTTCATATAACTCCGTTAAAATGCTCAGAATCTTTGTTTGCTGTAGCTTCTACCCTATTAAAGTCAAATGGCAAACTTATAACTTACGGGCCGTACTCTGTTAACGGTTTGTTGACGCCAGAGTCGAATGTATTATTTGACTTGAGTTTAAAGTCACAAAATGCTGATTGGGGAGTAAGAGACATATCTTATCTAGAAGGTTTAGCAAAGAATAACAATTTAATTTTGCGGAATACAGTAGAAATGCCATGTAATAATAAATGCCTAATATTTGTCAGAAAATTAGAATAAATATGTAACGAAGAACGATGTAAACACTAGTTAAATATTATTTGAGGTTTATTTAACACCATGTGACGATAGTAATTGAAAATTGTGCGTGAGTGTAATTTGTTTGATCTGGTGTCTGCGCGCCTTTATTTAATCGTTAAGTAATTATTGCAATGTTAAAATTCGATCAAATTTAGTGTTGCATAAACCTAAGTTTAACCTTTGTTTAAACTAGTTTGAGTTTTCGTTTGCAAATTTCATTTGTTCGCAAATTTTTATCAAATGTTGATTAGTTAATTAATCCTTTAATTAATTTTCAATCGAGCTAATTTGGTATGTGCACAGCGCAATGAATATTCAGAATATTACGGGTGGTTGAGTACATGGTTCACTCAGGCGAAGCGAATTGTGTGCACCTGTGCGTTATGCCGAAAACGTTCTAGATATCGATAACGATTTTTTTTATTTTACTGTTACAATTATAAGATATTATTTTTAAAAAATTAAAGATAATTATAACAATTAAAATTATCTACAGCAATTAATTTGTTATGTTTTCGACTGCCGTTTTTAACTGACGGCAACTATTCCTTTAAAGAACATTGTTTCCTTGGGAGTTATGGGAATTACTCATATCTCGTTAAAGTTGCTAGTAATATTAGTGTTAGTTAATGTATTAATATCAGATAATAGCTTCGACCGACAAATTAAGCGATCTAAAAGAGATTTAGATGAAAATGAGAGTACTGGTGATGCTTTGTACGAAAATCAGGAAGTCGATAAAAGAGAAGAAATTGCTATTCCTTCACAAAACAATGATATTACTGTCGATTCTCCGAAAGACAGTACTTCTATTTTAAAGGACAGTATACTTTTTGGAGATAAAAAATCAAATGTCGGTAAAAAATTAAAAGAAACAAAAAGTCTCAAAACGAAACTGAAAAAAGATTCCAAAGTTAAAAAAGTGCAAAACAATGTAAAGAGTTCTTCGCTCGTACGGCCGGATGATGAAGACGCTCGCTTACTTCAAGGTATGGATTCTAATGTAGATCACCCTATGGCTAATAACGATATAACAAAACGTTACGATGCAAGCGCTGACATAATGCACGGAGAAATGATGGGTATGGGTGACTCTGATAATTACGACACAACTCCTAATGATCTTAAACGTTCAACAATTCATACAATATATACAACTGATCCTCATTCAAAATTTAAATTTGACTTAAATAGACTTTCTATTGACGTTAAGAGACGGTCTGTTGAAAACTTAAATGAACAAAACGGGGGGGTTTCATTGCTTTTAAGAGTTAACAATAAGTCTAATGGTTTAGAAAGTAACGCAAATTCAACAGAAGGGAACACAAAACCTGTACCTTTCCAGGTTCGTTCACAATTAGGTTCTGCTCTATTCAGCACAGACACATTTAATTCTCAAACATATACATCTCCATCTCTCTCCCAAGCCAAAGTTTTTCATGAAAGGCAACCTCGTCACTTTCATCATCATCACCACCATCATCGTAGACATCATTTGCATCACAGACATCATCATTATCGTAACGAGTTTGAGCCTGAAAGATTTAGCGAATCATATTTCCGTCGAAATGGTTTCGAATGGAATCAACCTCTTTCGTATTATTCACCTTTCTTTAGAATGCCACCTTATAGCATGTCGTGGGGAAGATTTTCAAATCCCTATGAATATCACATGGGTAGACGTTGGATTTCTTCACCTAGTTATGTTCGTTCTAATGTAGAAGGAGCTTTAGACCCAAGGCTAAATTCTGGAATATTTGCAAACGGTTTTAATCCAGGTATTGCGTTGCCTGATTCAGAAAACCTTATGGCTGAAAGCCTACGCAAGCCATTACAAAATGAAGGTGAAAGAATGGCTCTGGAGCACCTTCAAAATATACACATGTCAACTCTACGAGAATTTGCACAATCGCAAGAAGAAAGGCGAAGAGAGTTAGAGGCTGAAGAGTTCAGGTTTCAGCATAGCAAGTTAATGAACCCCTATCTTCCTGAATTGCAGCATGTGCCATTAGAAAACCCATTTCATTTAAACAATTTTAGGCAAAATCACAACTCCTTGTTGGCAAATCGTTTTTCTAGAAATTTTGATAAGACATCATTTCAAGACCCTTATTTGGAAATGAAACCTGAGCAAGAACCTAATAATGTTTTTGATCAGTTTTCTGTACATTCTCCATCTCTTTACGAGTCTCAATTTGATCCCAGCATCTCGGAATTTCACCATCATTCTGATTTCATTTCGCATTTTAAAAATGAACCAAAAAATTATATTGATGATGTTATACCTTCAGCTGTAAACAGACCAGGCATTTTAAGAGTAACTGGAATGGAAAAAAGGTCATTTAATGAAGAAGGAAAATATCAGTAAGCAATTTTTTTTTTAATTATATTTTTTATAAGTTAATGTATAACTTAAATTTAAAGTAAGGATATATAAAATAATTTTAATCTCAAATATGAATTCTATGAATAGACAGCAACTTTAAAATGTCTTTTGCTAAATTTCTTTTTAACATTATTTCAGGAGAAAATTTATTTTGAATATTTATTAAGATTTATAAAAAAATATATTTATAAGGGAAAAAAAAACTTATGTCCCATGCATTGTACTAATTTGTTTATAATATGACTACAAAAATATTCTTGCAAAAAAAATTTTTAATTATTGTGCTACTAATGCAAATAATGCATAATTATTTCACAAACAAAAAATAAAAATCCTACTAATTTAATTCTAAATACTTATACATTACAGAAAAAACAAGTTTTAACAAAAGACAAATGAAATATTATAAATATATAAAAACTAGAAGCTGCGTAACTTTCCCTTCAATCGATGAGCATTATATAAATATATAAATTTTTTTTTTTTAACTTTGTTATTTAGGTTTTGTTATATAGAGTTTGTTTCGAAAATGGATCTCTTGCTTCTAAATCTAGCGCTCTAACCACTGCGCTATGGCCGTGTAATATATATATATATATATATATATATATATATATATATATATATATATATATATATATATATATATATATATATATATATATATATATATATATATATATATATATATATATATATATATATATATATATATATATATATATATATATATATATATATATATATATATATATATATATGTACATATATATATATATATATATATATATATATATATATATATATATATATATATATATATATATATGCAGCCGTGGCGCAGTGATAGCGCACTTGCCTCAGAAACGTAAGATCTGTGGTGCAAACCCCACCTCTAGCCAAATTTTGCGACATCGGTTGGGAAGGAGGCGTAAACTTCCTATTAAATGCTCTTCCGCGGTGCTCTGTGATAAGACCGTAAGGAATTCTTGGGGCAACTTAATCAACTTAAAAAAAAAAAAAAAAAAAGTATATATATATATATATATATATATATATATATATATATATATATATATATATATATATATATATATATATATATTTATATATATATATTGCGTATCGATATTTAGGACATATTTTTTTGCCGACATATATCCTACATATTTTCTATCGAGGTGTTTTGACATAATTTTATGTCTGAATTATTTTCTGCTGACATAAAATGTCTAATATATTTTTTTTAGTAACGTCTCTCAAATCAATTAAACGAAAATATGTTAACAAATTAGTTTGATTTGTTCTTCAAAAATATAAAGCATCAAATAGTTCAGACATAAAATTATGTCAAAATATGTTAATAAAATAAATTTTCTGACAAAATTTATGTCAGCAGAAAATAATTCAGTTACACAATTCAGCTTCACTAATGTATAAGAGGTAATTAGTTAGGAGGCTCTCAACTAATTACCTCTTATTTAGTCTCCTAACTAATAAAGCTAACATTATAAAGCATATATTAATATCGAGGCACAATATCGCACAACAAATATCAAATGCATTTAGCAGTGAATGTTATACCATAGATTTAAGCAAAGTTTTCAACATAGTAAACCATGAAATACTTTTAAAAAGACTAAACTGGTTTACTTACAAACTGGTTTACTTACAAACAAAACTAGAGTAACAGGAAGCAATTTATTTTTAAAGAATCGAAAGATTCAAAAAATAACTTAGCAACTATTGGGGTATCTTAAGGATTTAATTTAGGACCACTATTTTTTTATTTTATGTAGTTATATTAGTTAAATATAACTTATAGAGTTATACTTGGCATCAAAAATATTAAATACTATGATATACTTGCAGATGACTTTTTATTCTCAAAAAAGTATAAAGGTTCTTTTTAAAATATTTGATGAAGAACTAGATAAAATAAACGAGCGGTTTATAAGTAACCGACTTTCATTAAATGTAGAGGAAACTTAGTTTATCCTATTCCATAAACTTAATAAAGCAAATAAAGTTCCTCTTAAATTACCCAATCCTTTAATCAATAAAACAACAATTAAAAAAAGGAATCAACCATAAACTTCCCAGGAATAATTTTAGATGAAAAATTGTCTTGGAATTCTTGCATTAAATATATTGAAAGCAAGATGTCCAAAAAAATTTCCATGTTATATAAAAAGAAATCTTTCTTAATAATCCATCTTTAAAAAAACATTTTTCGTTTATGCAGATTTTTCTCGCTGTAACATTGTCTAGGTAACTAGACAATGTTACAGCAAGATTACGCTAAAGTAAAAAAAATTACAATAAACAAAAAAATGCTTACAGAACAATATTTGGAATAAATAGAAATGCTTACTGCAAACCTTTCTTTTATTCGTTCGGAACTTTGTTTTTAAACCTAATATTTACCAAGTGATATTATATATATATATATATATATATATATATATATATATATATATATATATATATATATATATATATATATATATATATATATATATATATATATATATATATATATATATATATATATATATATATATATATATATATATATATATATATATATATATATAATTATTTAATATTTAGCAAGTGATACTATTTATATATAATGCCAAGCGTGGTTTATCTCCAATAGCATTTCAAACTTATTTTGAAGTTTCTCTTAAATATACCAAACTTTCAGAGAACAACTTTGTCGTTTAACATATCTTAAACTAAGTTCTTACCAAATTAAATATTGTGAGTCTTTTGTTTGGAAAAATTTTGTATTTTTATTTTTTAAATAAAAAACGAAACTTTGTCTTGAACTGCACTTTGTAGAATTATAAGGTTGAATCGAAACAGCATTTCCTTAACATGGACGTCGATATATTAAATATTTTTTTGAAAATAATTTACAAATTTAAAAATAAATAATTTTCAAACAAAAAATCATCTATGTCTTTAGCTCTTCTAAAAATATTTTAATGCTTATTGAAACTTTATTGTTCATAATAAAACGTAATTTTTTGTGGATAATTAACACTACTTTATCGTAATTTAATTTTTGTATTTCTTAATTTATTTCTAAGAAATATTATTTGCTAAAGTATTTTGCAAAAGTTTTATGCAAGTTTGCCTTTTTATTTATTTATTATATATCAAAATTTTTAAAACGTTAAAAAGTTCACAAATGTAACGGGGGTTTATATTGAATATAATAATAGTAAAATTAAAAATAATAAAATTAAGATTAAAATAAAATAAACTGTAACGTGGCTCGGTGATAAGTCAAATTGTCTTGTTCTTGCTCCTGCCAGGTTGGGTTATTGTTTTGCTGAAATTTTTTTATTGTAATTTTAACATACGAGAAATAAATCGTTAAAAGAATTTAAAAAAAAAAAGTTTTTTTTAAATTTTTTTATTAGTAACGTAAACATTTTTAACACATAAAGTTTTAAAAATTTTTTTTTTAGGTACCCAATTTAGGTGCCCAGGGATAGGGAGAGACCCAAACATAGCATGGGAAAAGCCCCCAACCTCAAGAACTATAGCTAATAGTTCTTTTAAAGGAGGGAGGGGATAAAATATTTGTAAAATATATAAGTTTTTTCCTAATAATTATAGTTTATTAATTTTTTGGTTACGGCTCTGATATAAGATAAATTTCAAATTAATTTCAAACAAAATGAAGTTTTATTACCAATATATAAATAATATATAGACAGGGGCTCAAAAGAGATATCGATGGTAAAATATCACCCTAATCTTTTCGTGGGGCCCCTGAAAAGATTAGGGTTGTGAAAAGTCTTGTTAAAGGACTACAGTGGTTTATTTTGCACTTTTTGTGGAAATTCGACTATGCAAAAATCTCTTTAAGCGGCATGGGAAAATAAAACATGGTTATGATATATGTTTTTAACTTAATTTTTGAAGCTCAGTTATTAAAAAATACTCCTGAAAGCATACTATAACTCTAAGGTACCAAAATAACACACTGTAAAACACCCTAAAAAATAAGTAATAACTTTTTTTCAAATAGTTTTACATGGTCAAAATTCATGTTTTTAGGGTAACATTTCAAGCTTTATTCATTTTAAATACTCCCATGTTTATCACCATGATTGCACTATAACTCTAGGACACCGAAAAAACACTTTAAAGCTTGCAATTAAAAAATATTTAAAGATTCTTATATATAAAGTCTTAATGCATATTTTTTCGACATTTAGATGACTTATCCGTTAAAAAAATTCATTAGATCATAAAATATACCAGACACACAAAAAAAAACACACTAAAAAACACACAAAAAAAGACACTAAAAAGGAAAGTTGTTAACTTTTCTAAAATATTACATGGTTGCAATATATTTTACAAATATTTTTTTACTCTTTATGAATTAAAAAAATCATTTAATAACTGTAGGACACCAAAAAGGATACTATAAAGATCCAGCTGTAAAAATATTTTAGGATAACTTTATTAGGTAATAGTTTATGTTTTCAAGCCGAATTGCTTTATCTAAAATCAATACAATAATTATGCCCACTAATTTTTAAAAAACAATAATTAATAAATACCCGAACACTATAAATTATAGTGCAATGTAAACACTATAAATTGGAGTATATGTCTTTGCATTTATTAGTTTGTGATAACGCAATTTATGTCAAACTATTAATTTTTATATTTATATTTCAGAAACTGCATCATACGGCCTTGATTTTTGCTTTAACTGCGAACTATAATAATTACAAAATGTGTTTAGTTTGGTCACTATTTTGGCTGGCTTCAAAAATAAAATATAATGAGAAAAAAAAAAATTAGACGGATATACTGCTCCCACTTTCTTCTCTTAATAAAAAATACTATTACATAAACACTTTTTCGAATCGATCACTTCTTTTTTCTCAATTATTTACGGCTAAATACGTTCTGATAGTGACTAGACTAAATAATTACATGTCTGATTGCATGTTCGAATGTTAGGTCCATTCAGGTTTTACATGGTATTCTTAGATGCTTTGATCGTATTATGAAGGTAGTTGTCCACATGGCGGCAGGTGTCTTAACTTGGAAAGAATCTAATATAAACAAAAACGCAACATTGCTGAAATAAGCAAAAGCAAAACTACGAGAAACTATCTGAGTTAAAACAGAAAAAAAAAAGATTTTGCAAAACCCACTAGACAAGGGGGGAATACAACAACCCAAAATGTTGCCAGAAAACCTTTACATTATAATGTACTACGAAAAGTAATTACATATCACATATCAAGTCAAACAGACCGCAAACTAGTTGCAAAGTATGGCTTGCTTCTTTTCACAATTCTGAGAATAATGTCATCTGTCAAAAAAAATAATATTGAGCTATACAATAAATGTGTCAGGAGCTAAAAATCTTGCCTCTACAGGATTTTTATTGGGTAAATATAACTCCAATGCTGCACATAATTCTTGCTCATAGCTGGGAGTTGATAGAAATAAGTGATTCCACCAGTTTGAAATCTTAGAGTTAAGAAAGAATGAAAGCTAATAATAAGTGTCTCAGATACTTCACGCAAAAACTATCAAGAAAAATTAATCAATTGATCAATATAGAAGATTGCTTCAAAAGACTTTGGCTGGGGTCTGACCCAGTTGTGGCAGAAGAACGTAGCAAAAGAGAGGCTATTTTTCAAAAACTGTTTAGATAGAGGGCATTCTAAACACTCATGTATGCGCAGAAATGTAACAGCTGATGATACTTTAAACAATCTTTTTGTTTAAAAATAATTTATTTTTGTAACACTAAACGTTTTTGTTAATTTTTCCAAACCAAATTCTTAGAATTTAACCTCAAGATGGCAATTTTAAAACTTTTTTTTTCAAAAACCGCTAATGGGGCCAACATAGGTTTTGCAGCAAACAAAAGTTTTTATTTTGTAGTTTGGAAATCATATAAGGTTCAGTATGACGTCATTAGTGGTTTTTTAGATTATGAGTGAATGTTCAAAAACTACAGCAAGATCATAAGCAAAAATTCTTAAGCATTAAAGTTATATTTGGTATCCAATTTTCTTCCTGAAATCTACTATTATAAGCCAGAAAAATCTATTTTAAAGTAGGCGCTTTATCCTTTATTGTAAAATAATAATTTTCCAAGTTTTAGATCAATAATTTTTTTTTTTTTCATTACTTTTTTCCAAGTGATACTCAAATATATAAGTATACTCGAAAACTCTGTTAGGTTTTAAAGTGTTTTTTTTTCTTTCTAATTGTACAACTTTGAATTGCCGTAACTTTTTAAATAGATAAAAATTTTACTTTTAAAAGATTTTAACTTTTTTTAACTTAAATCTGCATGCCATTTAAGTATACAAAAATTTAAGTTAAATTTTAATTTCAAAACATTAAATATTTTACTCAAGTCCACCATTTAAACCACTGTGAGGACGCTCCGTTACATTGCCAATTAATGATATCGCCAGCATTTTTTTTTTAAATTCATTTCGCCAGCATTAAAGTTATATTTGGTATTTTAAATGGTTACATTTTTTATTCGTTTCGATGATTATCATATGATTTAATTAAAACTCACATTAAATCTAGTTCGCTAATGTTATATTTTTGTTCAATATTATGACCAATATATTATCTGGCTGGCATTTCTTTTTAATACTGAATCAACAACAAAATATAAGTGATAAAAGCAATACTTTAATTTTACTTTAATAATAAATAGATAAATTACAGCGCAGATAAACTAAAACCATTTATAATTATAAAGCATTTTCTCCCATTCAAATAATATAGATAATAGCAACAAACAGGGCAAAGAGAAATCTGTTATCTGTTATCTGTTAAAAAGTTATTCTAAATTAGGAGAAAAAAAAAACAAGATTTTGTTTTATATAACTATTTTTTAAAATTTAAAAATATTAAATATAATAAAAATTGAATTTGAAAGCTGGTAATAATAAAAATTAAATATATGTATAAACTAAACTTTATTAATATGAACTATTAAAAATGATACTATTGTTAATTGTATAATATTTATCAGATTTTCTTATTTATTGTCATTTGCATAATTTTAATACAAAATTTTTATTTAATCTTAGAAACAGTCAAATGGAAAGGCCTGAATTTGAAATGCAGTTTTCAAATAAACCGATAGATGATGTGAATCCAAACCGAGAATATTCCAGGTTTCATAATGACGATTATCCGTCTTACCAATCATCTTATGGTAACAGAATCTCTGGAAGACACTCAATTCAAGAATACAGAGATTCAGATCAACCATCTATGTTCCGCGATAACGAATCAGACCAAACTGAATCAAAAACCACTTCTAAACTTAACTCTTTATTTGATACCTCAAATGTAGATGCACATAGACCAATAGATGCCCCGGATTCTGCACCATTACTTGAAGGAAGCTTGCCTGATTCAAGCACGTTGTTAAAAAATCCAGGTAGCATACCAGATTTTCATGATCAACTAAATGCTGGAGTACAAGATGGTGATCAACAAAATGAAATTAGTGAACAAGCTGAAGCTCTTAGAGAAGACAAGGAATTTGCTAAAATCTCGCAAATACAAGAAGAAATGTACAAAAAGCTAAATGATGTATTGCCAATTGGAGATATGCCAAGACCTGATCTTTATCCAACTGAATCTAAAAAAACGGGATTAAAACATTTAGTTCCATCGCAAACCAATGAAATTAATAAGAAAGAAGATATATATGGGTACAAAAAATATGAAGTACCAATAGGACAAAAGTATAAAAACAATTTTAAAAAAGATCATCTTCCAGAAGATGTAAAATTGAATCTAACAATTTCAAACACTACTTCTGATGACTTATTTTTATTTGATAAAAAATCAAATATGTCAGTCACTTCAACTTTACCGCTCACACCACAAGTTACATCATCACTAACACCTGTCACGTTGCCAACCACACCAGAAAAACGCAGAAACACTAAAAATCTTTTAATTGAAGTTAGTAACAGCAAAGTAGTAAGTATTGATAACTCTTTTAATGAAGAAAAAAGAGAAAATACAATACTTTTAGAGAAAAAAAATCATCAAAATGTTACAAAAAAATCGGAAATTGGTCATCGTAACGAAGTTCACGCAAATGATAAAAAATTCAATCAAAAAAAAAATTTAGCTCTGAAGCGGAAGAACACAATTTTTTTAAAAGGTAAGAAAAAAAATGACATTATTGTAAGACGTCCACAAATAGTTTTTCATCCCCCGCCAGAAATATACCACAGACCACCAATTATATTACATAGACCTCCTTTAATAATACAACGCCCCCCTATTGTATATCATCAACCTCCAGTTGTTGTTCATAGGCCACCTGTCATTTATGCGCAACCACCTATAATATTTCATCAACCAAGTCCAGTAGTTCATCAACAGTTTTTAAATTCAAAAGATCATTGGGGTTTGATGACAGAAACAACATTCAAACATATTGGATCTTCTTTAAGTGACGGAGGGGAATGGTCAAGTATTCTTCCAGGAAATGTGCTTGGAACTAACAATCAAGTAGAAAATTACCCCAGGGATAATGAGGATAGTAACAATATAAATTATGATAACAACTTAGAAATGAATTCAAAACCAGATATGATGGATACAATTTTAAAGTCAGACGAAACAACAAATGTAAAAAATTTCAACGAACTTAAAGAAAAAACAAGCAATTTATTATTGAAACTTTTGAATTCAACAAGTTTAAAAAAATCTTCCATTCATTTGAAAAATAAAGAAAAAAAGAAACTTAGAGTTAGAAAAAAAAGAGAAGTAAAAAAAAATAAGGATCATAAAGGAACAAAAAAAGATGTTGTTGTTAATAGACCTCCTATAATCTACCATCCACCACCAGAAATTTATCACAGGCCAGATATTGTAATTCACAGACCTCCAATTGTTATACATCGTCCACCTATTATATATCACCAACCACCAGTTATAGTACATAGACCAGCTGTTGTTTATCATCAACCCCCTATTATTTTTCATCAACCTCCACCAGCCGTTCAACAACCTCTTTTATACTCGCACGATACATTTGTCGTACACCCTAGTTTTGTTGCACAGCATATGGGATCAATATTACGCACAGCACATCATTATATTGGTCCACCTAGGCTTATAACCCAATTAGGAAGTCCATTATTTGAAAGTCCTTTGCAAGAGGAGAAACCAGTACAAGAAAGTTTACAAGTTGCATCTTCATCAAACAATTATCCAATAGAACAGTCTAACTTAAATGGATTTACAAACTATCAAGGAGAGGGAGAAAATACAGCCCTCAATGAAGAAAATCAATATTCTCAAATGCAAAATATGCCAAACACCGATGATCAAGGAGCTCTTTCAAATGAAATGGTTAGTAACAAAAATAATTTTAACTCTTTAAATGGTAGAACTTTGGAAAATACGTTGACTAACTCAGAAACCGATCAATCAATTATGAATAATGCAGTAGATAACCCGTCGATGCAGCCTGAGTCATATAATTCAATTCAGGACAGCTATTCAGAAAACAGTAACCAAATGTTCAAAAGGTCAAATATTCAAAATAGAGATGTTATAGTTCATCAACCACCTATTGTTGTGAACCACCCTGAAGTTTTTTTTCACCAAGTACCGCTGCTTTTCCATAGACCACCAGTTACGGTTCATCAAGCTCCTCTAGTTAATTACCAACCTTCAATTTTCTACCATCAACCAAATGTTATTTTTCATGCATCATCTAGCATGATGCACCACGAACCAATATTTTCAAGCTATAGCTTGGAAAATCATTTGCCAACGGCTAGTATAACCAATACAAAAAATTCAAACAGCTCTGGAGTTGAGGAAGATACATATGAGCATTCATTTAATGAAATTACAGATAACACTAAAAATTCCTTAAAGTTGTCTCTTTATTCTGATAACTTTGATCAGTTAGAAAGAATTGACAACTTAGCCAATTCATTAATTGATAAATCATTTTCAATAAACCATCCCTCACTTACAGTAGAAAATGGAAACTTTCTGGGAAACGATGATAAAAGTAATAATGTCAAACCTTACAATTCATTAATTGACAAAATAAAAATTGATACAGCTTATAACAGTAATTCAGATCTCATGAAATCTTATGTAAGTAACAAAAAAAATGATTCCCTTGTAAAAATTACACAACTTTCGGCTCCAAGCTCCTCTCATCATCTCAAAAAAAATAAAATTGATAAACTTAAACTCGATGACAAAAAAAAAAATAAAATTGATAAACTTAAACTCGGTGACAAAAAATATAGCAAAAGAGAGGTCGTTGACTTAACGCACAAAATTACACAACCTTACTTTAATTCTCCAAGAAACACATACACACGTGACGCACAGACAACCAGCCATATAGGTGTGAAATCGACAGGTGTGATGTTATGATTTTTTTTGTTGTTGTTGTTGTTGTACTTTATAGGTACTTTACAAAATTTTTATTAAAAAATATTCTAGGAGAGCATAGGAAGCTTAGAACTTTGTTAAAGTTTGTTTATAAAAGTTTTTCTAAAGATTTTTTTACCGTTTCATGCATGCTTTAAAATATAGGAAAAATAATTTTGCCTAAAATTTTTCACTTTTAACAAGAACAAAAGTAATTAAAGGTTGACGGTGGCAAATTTATTTTTTAATTTAAAAGCATCATGACAAGGTGAAAACAATTTTCGTTAAAAACCTTTTATAAAAGTTCATTCTTGTTGAAAAAAAAGGCAACTTATTTTTCCTATATTTTTATAGATCAATCGCTAGTGAATAGTAGTGAACCAATCAGTGATGTGGAAAAAGAAAATGACAATTTTCGAGAAGAAGATGATACAAAAAACGGAGTAAAATCCAAAGCTGTCAATTCATCATCTAGAGAGCATGTAGAACAAGTAAATAAAAGAGGTCTTCGATGCTCTGCATGTGGTGTTGATTGCAATCCACTCTGTGGAACTTTTTATAATAACAATTATAATGGACTGTTAAGTAAGCCAGTTGTTTTTAATCACGAACCTTCGGTAGTTGCCTACAAACCACCAGTAGTTATTCACCAACCTCCAGTTGTTTTACATCCTGTATTACATCGACATAGAGTGCAAGTACATCATTTAGATCACTACCAATTGTTACCTCATTCTCAAGCTTGTGACTGTTCTGACGAATACCAACACAACTGCATGTGCTTACCAGGACAACATCTACAAAACTTTAATAAAAAACATCATATACGTGGCAAAAAGCATCCCCGGTCTGAAGTTGAAAGTGTAAGTACTAGAAACAGTCAATCTTTTAAGCGCTGTATTGATTGTGGAGTTAATTGTGATCCTGGATGTCATTCAAATGATTATTATGGTTACGGATTAGGTACAGGATATAATAATGGTCACCCTATATTTAGCAATAACCATGCGACATTTGAAGGAGCAGATGGTATATACAACGGTGGTCAATGGAATGAAGGGAAAGATCACGAGTTTGGTTTGAACGGAGAAGAAGATTTAAATGGTTTTCACAATAATGAAGAAAATAGTTTAAATAATTATGGTATAAATGAACTCAATTTTGCAACACATAATGAACCAAATCACGACCATGAAACAACTGTTTACAAGCGTCCAGATATTGTTGTTCCACAGCCTCCAGATATTATTCATAGACCTGATATTGTAATCCATAGAGCACCCATAATTGTTCACAGAAGACCTATTGTTTATCATCAAGCTCCCGTTATTGTTCATAAACCTCCGGTTGTTGTACACCAAGCACCTATTGTTGTTCACCCAGTTGTTCATCACCACCGAATCCTTGACCACCATATTCACAACTACCATGTCGTACCACATCATACAACTTGCGATTGCGAAGATAAAAAAGACTGTATATGTGGTAAACTGAGAAGTAAAAAAAATCTTGAAAAAAATATAAGATCGTTAATTCCTAATGTTGCACAAAATAATTCTTTGTCAAATAGCACTTTAGAAGACTTTAAAACAACTAAAAAGAAAAAAAAGGATGTTGTAGTAAGCCGTCCTCCTATTATTTATCACCCTCCACCTGAGATATATCATCGACCTGATATTGTTGTTCATCGACCACCATTACTAATTCACAGACCATCTATAATTTACCATCAACCACCAGTAATTGTTCATAGACCTGCAGTTGTATACCATCAACCACCTTTAGTTTTCCATCAACCTCCTCCAGCAGTCCAACAACCTTTACTTGTTTCTCACGACACTTTTAAATTTCATCCTTCTGCATACTATACTCATATGGGATCAGTTGTTAACAAAGTAGGAAGTTATGTTGGTGTTCCTCATGGTCCAATTATCAATTACCCGCATTCTCCTTATTACGGCACAACAGGATACGGTCCCGCGCCTGCTAGTGGTTACCATGGCTTTGGTAATGGACGTGTTCCTTACGCAGATCCTGAAAGTGGTGAGGGTCACGAACCTATTATGTCTTTACCTAATTCTCACGGTGCAGTAGGTTACGAATCACCATCAGGAAACATGCACAACGAAGAATCTTTTGATCATGATCAGCAGGAATTCCCACACACTGGTGTTGTAGGACATAGTCCAATGGGAGATTTTAGTCATTTTGGAGCCCCGAATGAAATTCATCCACCCAATAGTTTTAATCAACAAGAAGGAAATTTCGGAAATACTGAATTTGGTCAAAGAGAATCTGAACAGTTTAATAATCATCCTGAACAACAGTTTGGATACCCTTCTAACGGAGTTAACCTAAATAATCAAATGTCTAATGAGGGATTCGGGGCACAAGGTAAAACAAATGCCACTTAGTATCTTGTAAAAAAAATTGCATGTAACTTTTTAAAGTTTTAGTTTAAAAAGTCCAGTTTTAGTTAAAATAATAAAATAAAGTTTTACTGCATTTTACAATTTACTGTTGCTTACATTTTATTAAGTGAAACAGATTAGTATTAAAATGAAATTTTCAACACAAACTAAATTAAGAATAAAAATTTTCAATAACCTTGTATATTTGTTTAGTTGTATATATATATATATATATATATATATATATATATATATATATATATATATATATATATATATATATATATATATATATATATATATATATATATACATATATATATATATATATATATATATATATATATATATATATATATATATATATATATATATATATATATATATATATATATATATATATATATATATATATATATATTTCAGTGGAAGTGATTTAGAGTAACTTTAGAAAAAAAAACACAGTTTATAATATTCAAACTAATACCTGTAAACTCCTAAAAATGCAACATTATTACCTCTAAATAACTAATAAGTTAAAACACTTTGAAAAAATATTATATGATAATAGTTATAAAATATTGAAACATTTTGAAACATTTTTAATTTTACCTATAATATAATTAATGGGTTTTAAAAAGAATTAACTATAATAGTTACTTTTTTTTTAGGCTTCGACCGTTCCTTTAGCGAATCTTCATCTTCTGAACAGCAAGCTACAATGGGTGGCGTTTCTGGTGGAGTATCCGGAGAAGAAAACAGTCCTATTGGTCACTTAGGTGGCGAGGAGTTTAGTAATCAACAATCATCACCTTATAAGCGAACATATATTGCAAAAAACGAAAATGAAGATAACTTTGAAAAAGATACATTTCGAGAGAGAAGATCTAAAAACTTACACTTACAAAAAAATCACCATCAACATCCAAGTAGAAGACATAGAGTTGTTGTTGGTCGACCTGATATTATTTACCATCAAGCTCCAGAAATTGTTCATAGACCGCCATTGATTGTACATAGACCTGATATTGTAATTCATCGCCCTTCAGTAATTGTACATCGCCCACCCGTGGTAGTTCATCGTCCTGCTATTATGTACCACCAGCCGCCCGTTGTTTTCAATTCTCCTCTTCCAGTTATTCATCAACCAAATGCTATTTCCCACGATATGTATGTTGCACACAGTTATCCACATAGAATTGGATCTCATGTTTTTCCCTCTGGAGGAATTATATCCCAGGTTTCTAACGTAGAACACGAAGAAAACATTGGTCAACTTAATAATATTCAAAATGATGAACATATTCAAAATTTTGATTCTGGAATGCTCAACTCTGAACCAAATGAAGAACATGATTTTGGGATTCAAGGACCCTCAGCTTATAATAATGGTCTTCCATCTGAAGGTTGGGGTACAGGCCCTAACGTTGGAGTTGATGTAACTCCTAATAATGTAGAAAACATTGGGGCGGATTATGAAAGCCCAGTAAGAAACCAATATGCTCCAGGAGCTTTTTTACAGGAAGATGGCTATAGTCAAAGTAACCTAAATGCACAACCAGTAACAGGCAATAATCAAATAGCTCATTTTAATAGGGGTGAGCCAAACAATATTTTAAACCAATTTGGTCCATTAACTACTAATAACTATGTACCTCTTCCAGAAGAGGAACACCCATGGACAAAATCAAAAGTTCCAAAAAAAAAATCAAATCAAGTATCTGGTGTGAAAAAACAAATTCTAGTATCTAGTAATCATGGGGATTTTTCCGGAGATGTTCGTGATGAAAAATACCCTCATGAAAACTCAAATTTTGTAGGATGTGAAGGTTCAAATTGTCATGAAGATGGATATAGTGATGGGGAACCTTTCCATGAAGGAAACGAAAGATTTGCCGATGGGTATGACGGACACAACGATTACCATGATTTAAGATATAGTAGACACCACCCAGCAGGTGTACACGCAACAGTTCTTTATAGACCAGATGTAGTATTTCATCCCAGACCAGAGCTTTACCATAGACCTGATATTATAGTTCATCGTCCAGATGTGGTTATTCACAGACCATCAGTAGTCATTCATCAACCTCCCGTTCTTGTACACAGACCTGCCGTGATTGTTCATCAACCTCCAATTGTTTTTCATCAACCACCTCCAGTCGTACATAGACCTATAGCTGTTTCTCACGACCATTACTTAGTGCATGACAATCATGAACATGTAGGTTCTCATTTAGAACATGCTGGTCACGTTGTCGGCCAAGGTGGTTATGATATTGGTGCACCTTTTGAAAATGCAAAAGATATAGATAACTTGCATAGTTTTAGTCACCCTCATTATGAAAATATTCATAATGAATTTGCCAATGAGGGTAACTTAATTAACAACCAAGGATTTTCAAACAATTTAAATGATAATTTTGGTTCCCATACTCATAGTGTTCCTGATTACAATCTTCAGCCTATTAATAATATTGGAACTTCCGAAGATTTTGATAACCCATCGACAGCTCAATTTCAAGAAGAAAAAGATTTAGAAAATGTAAACTCAGAAAACTTGTCAAGCAAGTCCGTCGTAACACATCATAAAGGACACAAGAAAAAAAAGAAGAACAAGAAGAAGACAAAAGTTCGAAGAGAAATAAAGGAATCCAATCATACGGAATCTGAAATTGAAGTGATGAAAAAATCAAAAATTCAAAATTCATCAAAAAAACACCATGTAACAGTGATTCATCGACCTGATGTTGTCTTTCATCAAAGACCCGAGGTTATTCACAGACCTGATATAATAGTTCACAGACCAGATGTTGTAATTAATCGACCAGATGTTATTATACATAGACCAGCTGTTATTGTTCACAAACCACCAATGGTCATTCATCAAGCGCCAATTGTTTTTCATCATTCTCATCCTATGATGCACCAACCAATTCAGCATCAAAATAATTTATATGTTCAAAATACCTATCCAGATCATGACGGATCCCATATTGAAAATTTAGACCATAGCTATCCTCTTGATATTGCACCTCACATTAGTAATTCACCTCATATATACAGTGAACCCGTAAATGTTGGTCATATAATGATGGAAAGAGTTCATAGTAATGGAGGTCATGTTGGAGATACACCTTCTATGGGTGTTAGCAATGATGTTTTAGAAAATGAGTATCATTTAAATCTGGATAATAACTGCAACAATTATAATTGTCATAATTTTGGTGGAGAACCAGTTGGACATGAACATCTTATTGGACCAATAGGATTTGCACCACAATACCCTGATACCGAAGACGATGATGCAAGATCACACATTCCAAAGAAAAATAATCAAACAGCGTCAAAGAAGCACCATGTTACTGTGATACACAGGCCAGACATAATATATCACCCTAAACCAGAAATAGTTCACAGACCAGATGTAATTGTACATCGTCCTGACATAGTAATTCATCGTCCTTCTGTTGTAGTGCACAGACCCCCTGTAGTTGTACACAAATCTCCAGTTATTATCCATCAACCTCCAATAATTTTACATCAACCTAATCCAATTATTAATCAACCCATTCACCAGTCGCATGATTTATATGCAATGAAACAAGTACCTATTCAGGTTGGATCGCGCTTAGAGCATGTTAGCTCAAATACCAATATTCAAGAACTCGGCCCAACTACAGAAACAAGCTCTAATATTTTAGATCAAGGAAACTTTCATGAAACACAAACTTTTCCTATAAATGGACAGAATAGTTTAAATAATGGGCACGAAGTTCTTGACCAACCATTAAATCTTAATGATCAAGGAAGCAACGGGATGGAAAGTATTAATTATTTATCGTCAAACGAAAGAGGATTAGAAACACAACTTGGTAATAACTTACAAAGTTCTGTTAACAATAAAAATCTTAACAATAGTTATGTGAATATAGATGAAAATCATGAAGAACCAAATTCAATGATTGGAAATTACAAACAAGATTATACAATTAACAACAACCATATTGGACAAACGGGTGGAGAGCTAAACGTTAGATCGGGAGAATTGTCTTGCGATGAAAACTCTGATCCACAATGCAACAGGTCTAAAAAAAATAAAGTCTCTAAATTAAAAACTAAAAAAAAATTAAAGTTAAAAAACATAACAGGATTTAAAAGAGATTTTGGTTTTGGCTCCGAAGGTATAAGTAGAGATTGTATAGGTTCACATTGCGGAGAATGTCACGATGGTCACTGTGGATCTGATATTTCTGATCATCAAGGAGAAGAGTCGTTTGGTCATCACGGTTTCGGAGATGTTATAGGGCAACATGCTGGTAGTGGGATAATTGGACATGGAGGCCTTTCAGGTCATGGCATCTGGGGAGATCACGGTGATCATTGGGGACATGGTCACGAAAATACATGGGAACATCATAATGATCATCACCATCATCACGCAGACGAGCAAAATATTGTAGTTCAAAGACCAGATATTGTTTTTCATCCAAGACCTGAATTGTATCACAGACCAGATATTATTGTACACAGACCTGATATTGTTATTCATCGTCCATCTGTAGTTATACACCAACCTCCCGTTTTAGTTCACCGACCTGCAGTTATATATCACCAACCGCCTGTTGTTTTCCATCAGCCCGGACCTGTGGTTCATCGTCCAAGAGTTGTATCTCATGATATGTATGTTACCCATGATCAACATGAACATGTTGGTTCTCAGATTGAGCATGCAGGTGGTGGAACTATTGCTCATGCTGGTTACTATGAAAATCACGATATTGGACATTCTCATGATGATGATGACGATGAAAGAGGCGAAGAAGGTCATCATAGCCACGAAGGTGGATATGAAGGAGGGAGATCCGGTGGTGAACATCATGATGAGCTGGGTTACGGAGGTGGCCATCATTTTGAGCATGGTTTTGGATTAGGTGGGCACGAGTTCAATTGTTTAGGAGGAAATTGTGGACACGAAGATGAGCATGCTTTTAAAAGATTTTTGGTTGACAGCCCTAATGAACTTCAGCAAGCAAAAGCAAAACGACACAGAGTGGTTGTATTTAGACCACCTATAATATACCACCCACCCCCAGAAATTTACCACCGTGCGGACTTGATTGTTCACAGACCAGATGTTATTATCAGTAGGCCATCTGTAGTTGTTCATCGTCCGGATGTCGTTATTCATAGACCTAATATTGTTTATCATCAACCTCCAGTTGTTTTTTATACCCCTCCACCTCATATACACCAGCCAATTATAAAATCACATGATTCATACGTAACGCATCCTATATATAGACATATTGGCAGTAATGTGGAACATGTTGGGGGTGTATTTTTGCCTCATACCTATCCACCTAACAACTTAGTGCCTTTGCAGGACTCAAATTTAAATCAGTACACCAATGAAGATGCTTTGCAAGAAAATAGTCAAACACCAGTAAATAACTTTATTGGCCAAAATTATCACAATCAAGAGCAAACTCAGGAAACAGAGGAACTTGAGGGTTTGCATGAGGAAAATCCTGATGAAGCTGATAATAGTGTTTTAAATAATGTTAACATAAACCCACATCAAGATTTAGTTTCTTCTACAAATCCAATAAATACACAGCAAAATCTAGTAAACGAACCACAACCAGGTTACAACGTTGCTGGTTTGGGGAAATCTAAAGTTGAAAAACATAAAAAGCATAGAAAAAGAAAACATAGTAGGAGAAGAAATAGAAGAAATATTGTTGTCAAGCAATCAATTAAATCAACAAAAAAAGTAACTAAGAATAATAAAAAGAAAAAATCCCAAAATGGTTTTAAATCAACAAACAAAATTAGTAGCAGAAAAACTAAAAAAACAGAAATTGAAAATAGTGATGATAAAAAAAAAGGAAAAGCTAGTAAAAAAAATGACATTATAGTAAAACGTCCTCCTGTAATTTATCATCCACCTCCTGAAATTTACCACAGACCACCTATTATTGTACATAGACCCCCGTTAGTTATCCGTCGACCCCCAATTATCTACCATCAGCCACCAGTAATTGTTCACCGTCCTGCTGTTGTTTACCATCAACCTCCTTTAATTTTTCATCAACCACCACCAGCAGTTAGCCAACCTATTCTTAAATCGCATGACACATTTATGATGCATCCAGCAGCTCGCTTAACTCACATGGGATCTATGGTCACTAATGCTGGGACTTATGTTGGAGTTCCTGAACATAGGTTTATGTATCAAGGCGGTATGGGTTTCTTTCGAGCACCAGAACAAGACCATCAAGTAGGTTATTCAGCCGTAGATAGCGATAACTCACATGGTGAGAACACTTACATGTCTACACCTCGCATGGATGATTTCAATCAAGGAGTAGGTGGAGGAATTTCTGATTTATCAAGTCATCAAAGAAATTCAATGCTAGAAAATGTAGATACAGAACAACATCAAATAGGAGATGGACAGTACATTGGTGGACAAGGAAGAGATCAACTTTCAAATGAACAAAATTTAGTGCTTCAAGAACCATCCATGCAGCAGCAAAATATAAACGATGGTGAGCAACAGTTTATTGATAGTTCTAACAATCAAATTGGTATGGGTCCTTCTGAGTCAAGCTACGCTTCCCAGTCAGGTAGTGATGATGCGTTTGGAAGAAATTCTATTCCGTCACCAGCTGAAGATAACCTTCCTGATAATGATGAAAGTTCTGAAAATAACGAAGAGGAAGAGGAAGATTCTGAGAACCGAGTTGAACAGCATACTGAGAAAAAACAAGAGATAGTCGCAAATGAAAGCAAAAGGAAAAGTATTGAAAAACCACTTCTAAAAATCATAAAGGGAATAAAATCACAACATAAAGATAAAAAAGATGATGAAGTTGATAGAAAAAAACGACAAACTCCCTTTTTTAATCCTTACCAGTTGCGTCAAGATGTTCCCCAGTTTAATCCATTATTTTTTAAACCCCAACGCAGACACCACAAAACATCTGTTAATATAGATGTTGTCGGAAAGAGATCCATTTCAGACACTTTAAAACCAGGAAATAAAAATCGGAATCATTTTTTATTCTAGAGCGGTCTCAGGTTAAAAGATCAGAGAAACCTGAGGCCGTAAATCATGGATTAGAGGTCCCATTTAATGGGATAGCTTCTAAATATATATCAAAATTACTAACGCAAAAACAAAAACGAAATACTAATCGTGAAAAACTATTTTACTCTCCCTATGTTGCACCAATTGCTAGTAACCATTTTTCCGAACCATATAAAAACGGTTATCAGGGTTACAATTTTAAATTACAACAGGTACCCTTCAATCATTTCCATCAATTTAAAAAGTCGTATTATTTTCCAAAGGAGCAAAAAGAGCGTATGATTGAAAGCAACTTCAATCCAGATTTACTTGAAAATAATTTCGTATATCATGATAATAACGACGACGATCACGATGATTACAAGCCACGAATCCATGTTGCTATTGAAACAGAAAAACGTGAAAAAATACCCGACAAAAAAATACCCGAAAAATTCGTGCTGCTTAAGTCTACTCAAAAAAGATCTATGATTGATGAAGAGATTCTTGTACCAGCCAGAGCAGAGAACAACCCTGGTATAAGACATGAGATAAACTCTATTGAACGATCGCAAAAAAGAGATAAAATTCTTAAACTTAATAAAAGAAGTGTATGGGACACAGAAAACCCTGTCGCGCGAACAACAGTACTTGGAAAAAAAGCAGAAATGAATCCTATTCTTCAAATGCTCAGAGCTGCTGCAGGCCAAAAAACTCAAAAAATATTAGGATTAAATAGCAAAGCATTTGATATATTTCCTGGACCTATGCCTGAAGAACGTGAAACAAGCAACAGTTTAGAAGGTGCTTCTGTTACATCAGAGCAAAATATAGATTTTTCTTCTGCAGCACAAACAAATCATCATAGAAGAGCAAACTTGCGAAATAAATTTAATAGCAGATCTCCCTCTCCAGCAATGTATGAGACAATGCCGCAAGTATTTGAAATGAACAAAGCAACATCTGAGCAATTTAACGAAGTAAATGGTCCAATTGAGGGAACAGTTCCTGAGCAATCTTTAATAAAAGATTATGAGGGACACAATAATGGATATAATTTTCAAAATCCAATGCAAAAACACCACTCACAAATGTTTATTGGTACTCCTAACTTTGGGAACCCTATAAACTTTTTTCGCAGTCAAAGCACTATATTTCAAAGACCACAACGTCAATTTACAGATCAATATCAAACACAAACCCATCATGAGTTAGCCCAATTAAGAAATGTTTTTCCGGAAATGAAAAATCAGTTTGAGAGCTTTTCTAGAGGAACTCAAAATCAGCAACCATTTCCTGGCCAGAACATTCCGTTTGAAAACTTTAATAACCAAGAAAGTGACAGGGATGCAACGTATCAACAAGAATATATGCAAGGTCAACAAAATGACGACTATTTAAATCAAATGAAAGAGTTTCCTTATCAAGAACGAGTTGCACAAGAGGCTGCTTCAAAAGCAATGATGGATGATCAAGACCAGGAACAAGAAAGGCAAATGAATTTAGGTAGAGCAATTCACGAACAACAAGAAGCAGAGTTTATCCAACAGCAAAAAATATCAGAAGCAATGAGAGAGATTTCAAATCAGCAACAACAACAACAAGAAAACGAACTAAAAGTTCGACACCAACTTCCAACACCTTACTTTTTAAATAAACTGTTGAGATTTCCCTCACTTAGTTCTAATGACGTAATAAATACTGATAAGTACCGTAATTGGAGAGAGTTAAATAATTTGCAAGCAATAAAAAAGCAGTATACTGAACCAGAACCAATTTATTCTACAAACGGAAATAAAAATCCAGCATATTTTCAGCAAGCCGTTGCTAAGCAACAAACACATCCATTTGTTGGCTACGAACACAATAAATCTTTGCTTCCAATTGGCCCGGTGTCTGCATTTTCTTCAGTAAATGATGAAGACGAGGACGAAGAAAAACCAGAAGTTCATGTGCATATATCAACAGAAAAATCACACATAGCAAAACCTATAAAGTATTTTTCACATAAAAAATGGTAAACATTTTTTTGTTTTACATAAAATATGGTAAAAACTTTTTACATTAAAAAAATGATAAACTTAATGTTCATTTCTTTAAGGTAAAATAAATTTATTTTACCTCAAAAAAATGAGCATATTTTACCTCATCTTCCTAAAATATATAGTTAAATATCTTAATTGTTTTTAAAAATTTTAAATTAAACATTATATAAAAAAACAAAAAAAACATATTTAATATTGTGTTAATAATTTTTATAATATTTCAAAAAAATTTTCCTTAAAAATTCATATCTGTGCCTTTTACTTTAATTATGTAATTCAGATGTTTTTTATTGTAAAAGTAAAATTTTGAAAATCTTAGATATAGAATCTACAATATTAGCATGTCAATGAATAACAAAACTTGTGTTATTTTTAACTTTTGTTTTATTATTATTAACTTTACATCTTTAGTTAGTTTGGTTTTAACTTATTCAATTATTTAGTTGTGTCTTTTAACTATTCTATTATATTTAGTAAAAATTATAACTATTCTATGGTATTTAGTAAAAATTCAAAAATAACTTAATTTGCAGGTAAAGATTTTAAGTTAAGTGTCTTTGATCCATACTATATTAACTATGATAATTATACATGATTGGTTACGATAACTATGCGTACTAAATAACTAAATTATGATAACTATGCATATTCATTAAGTATGCGAATAATGTATACTACATTAGTAATTTATATTATATACTATGTATATTACTTAAAATAAATAAGAACAGTTGATTAAAATATAAATAATGAAATTATAGCAATTTGTTAGTTTTGGTGAAACTTTAATTGCAAGCAAAGCGCTCTACTGCTATTTCACTGTTGCATATAATTATACATTATTAATAATTGTATGCAGTAGTGCATATAATTAATTTATACTCACTATTGTGTTGTAGTTAGTATATTAATAAAAATAATTATATAATTATTAAATATCTTAAATTCAATTTTATTTGCTGACGATACTAACGTATTTTATTCAAATAAAGATATTAATTTTTTATTTACAACAGTGAACGAGGAGCTTGTGAAACTAAGCGAATGATTTACATCAAATAAATTGTCCATAAATATTAAAAAAACAAAATATACTTTCTTCCATCGTCTTCATGATAAAGACAACATACCCTTACAACTTCCTAAGCTTTTTATTAATAACTCTTATGTCAAAAGAGAGAGTTCTTTGTTGTTTCTAGGCGTTGTTTTAGATGAAAACGTAACATGGAAGGAGCACATACGAATAATCCAAAATAAAATTTTGAAAAATATAACCTTTATACAAAGCAAAATAGTTGTTGAACCAAACTTGTTTGAAACTTATTTACTTTTTTTTTATTCATTGCTATCTAAGTTACGCTAACGTTGCTTGGTGCAGCACTAATGTATCTAAAAATAAAGGGCTTCTAATTAAACAAAAACACGCTCTAAGAATTATTGGAAATGTGAATCGCTTTTCGCACACTAAAATACTTTTTAATAAATTCAAAATACTTAACGTATTTCAACTTAACCTATATCATATTTTTATATTTATGTTCAAAGTAGATAATAAAATGGCACCCATTTTATTTAATTCCTTTTTCGAAAAAATAAATCATTTATACCCAACAAGATTTTCAAACAACAATTATATTCAACCAAAAAAATATTAATCTGCGACTAGGTTCTCGATAGCAATCAAAAGACCTAAATTATGGAACACCCTATTGGATAATGAGTTTAAAAAAATTTCTTCTCTTGATCAATTTAAAAAAAAAAATAAAAAGTAAACTCTTGATAATTGACAATGAACTTGACATCTTTTGAAACTTTTAAATAGGAGTAATCACTTGTTTTTTACTTGGTATTTAATTTATTTTTAACATATTAACTTTTGATTTTAATTTGAATCTTTACCTTCTTAAATTATCATGTTTTATCTCATTTTTATTTACTATTAAAATTTGAAATCCTAATAAAAAAAAAAAACTAAAAAAAAATATTAAATTTTAATGAAAAATATTTAGATATTTGTATTTATATATGTACCTTACGCATATATTATATTGTGATAACGGATTTTTTTTGGTTTTTTGGTTTTTGTTTTGTTTGTTACTTGTATTCTTGTTTAAAGGGGCTTGGCGATAAGACTGAATTTGTCTTCTTCTTGCCCTAGCCGTGTATATACAGTTTTTAAACTCTAATTTTGTAAATATTTTCTTTATGGCGAAATATATATTATATTATTATATTAAATAGTTTAAACAATATTATTAGGACTTTTTTTTTAATGAATTTTTTGTTTCTATTAACTTTGAGTTTTGTTGATAAAATGTTATGCAGTTATTGTTTTCATTATTTTACGTCACTTTTTAGGTAATCATCAGGAAGAATAATTTTAAAAATGCATAAAAATCACTCCAGAAATGATGAAAACTTCATTGAAGTGATTGTATTAAAGTTCAGTAAGTCGAGTGGGTTTGTGTAACTTATACACGTAGATTAAATAAAAACTCTTATATTGCTGAGCTAATATAGTTTCATACGTTCTGTATTTTATCGCAAATGGCGTTTTGGTTTTGTTTTAAAATCAATATTTTGAAAATTATATTTTGTGGCTCTAAGTTTTTTACTTAGTAGAACAATTCTAATAATAAACTTTCCTTTAAAAAGTAGAGTAGTTCCGAATGGTTCGGATATCTCTTATTTCTTTGTACATATTTTAATTCTAAGAAATCCTGCTTAAAGTTTTATGTTTGTGAAGCATATATGTTACCGTATATTTTTATAGAAACATTAGTTTTGTCATTTTGTATGTTCAACTGTATTGCTTATTGATGTGTTTGGTTTTTATGAATTTTTTTTTGGATTTCTTTTAAAGATATTTATTTACAAAAAATTTACTTGTTTATTGCTTTAACTCCCTCCTCCCCCTCCTTCCTCCTCGTTCCCACCAAAATTATTAAAAAACACAACTAAAACAAGTTAAAAATTTTTTTAAATTATGCATCGTCGAAACTTTTGTAAGTGCGAGAAAAAGGATAATTTGAATATATAAAGTTATTTTAATTAGCGACAGAATCATGCGACTGAAACATGCAATCTTAATTAGCGACTGAACCATGCAATCTTAATCAATCTTCGTTTTTTGTGTACCAAAACTTTTCAGTACGTCGTCCGTATAGCACGCGGTAAAAATTAAACAATCGTTGTTCAAAAGAAATGTTATTTTTAGAGTAATTATTTCTAATTGGGTTATTATTTTTGGTTTCAAAAAAAAGATAAAAGACAAATAGACATATTTTGTTCGGACCACTGAACTCTATAATAGCTTATAGAGATCAGTTATTACAATTGCAAAACTAGTTACTCGATTAACCAATTAAATAAAACTCAATTAAAAACTGATTAAAAGTACCTTAAAAGTAGAGGTCAATCATTTTTCAACAGAAAAGTGAGGGAGGTAATTGAAATAAAACGCCATGAATGTGCATCTTTACACGGCGCACAGTGGAAAATAGTACTACGAAATCGTACCATAAATATTTTTTGTCCAAATTTCAATTTCACTACTGAAATTTGATATATATATATATATATATATATATATATATATATATATATATATATATATATATATATATATATATATATATATATATTTATTAATAGTTTAATCGTCAATCTTTACTAGAATGCAGCAATTTTACCTATTTTTTGTAAAAAGATCATTTTTGAAGCCCTACCTTTCATATTTTTGAAAATTTTCAATTTAAACTTATATGCTTCATAACTTTAAAAGTTTTTTTCTATAAAACTTTTTATGAATAAGTATAAAAGTATTATATATTTTTGCATCGTGTTATTATATAGATTATTTTGAAAGCATGGTGTTAATATATAGATTATTTTGAAAGCATGGTGTTATTATATAGATTATTTTGAAAGCATCGTGTTATTAGATAGATTATTTTGAAAGCATCGTGTTATTATATAGATTATTTTGAAAGCATGGTGTTATTATATAGATTATTTTGAAAGCATGGTGTTATTATATAGATTATTTTGAAAGCATCGTGTTATTATATAGATTATTTTGAAAGCATGGTGTTATTATATAGATTATTTTGAAAGCATGGTGTTATTATATAGATTATTTTGAAAGCATCGTGTTATTATATAGATTATTTTGAAAGCATTGTGTTATTATATAGATTATTTTGAAAGCATGGTGTTATTATATAGATTATTTTGAAAGCATTGTGTTATTATATAGATTATTTTGAAAGCATGGTGTTATTATATAGATTATTTTGAAAGCATGGTGTTATTATATAGATTATTTTGAAAGCATCGTGTTATTATATAGATTATTTTGAAAGCATTGTGTTATTATATAGATTATTTTGAAAGCATGGTGTTATTATATAGATTATTTTGAAAGCATCGTGTTATTATATAGATTATTTTGAAAGCATGGTGTTATTATATAGATTATTTTGAAAGCATGGTGTTATTATATAGATTATTTTGAAAGCATTGTGTTATTATATAGATTATTTTGAAAGCATGGTGTTATTATATAGATTATTTTGAAAGCATTGTGTTATTATATAGATTATTTTGAAAGCATGGTGTTATTATATAGATTATTTTGAAAGCATTGTGTTATTATATAGATTATTTTGAAAGCATGGTGTTATTATATAGATTATTTTGAAAGCATTGTGTTATTATATAGATTATTTTGAAAGCATTGTGTTATTATATAGATTATTATGTAGATTTTAGAACAAATTCATTTTTTTAGTTATTTGGTTTTGTTTACAAATAAACAAAAGTTCACTGATAATTTTGGCAATCACCGACGCTTCCCGACGCTTTATTTTTATAATTATTAGTTGCTTAGGAATGGAATGCATGAAGCAAGTTTGACTTGAACTTTATTTTCTAACCAATAGCGGCAGAGTATTTTTTGAGGAGAAAATCCATACTCTGTCGCTATTGGTTATAATGTAAAGTTCAGGTCGAGCTTGACTCAAGTTTGCTTCTTGCATTCCACCCTAGGTGTCTATAAAAATGATTTATTAAAAATTAGGTGCGGATACGTGCGGTTTATAAAGTTATAGATAAAAAGGTAATAAAAGTCAAAAAACAAAAAAACCGCTTTTTATCGTAGTTTCAGACTATCTGTTTATAACAAAAGTTTTTTTGTCCGATTTTCATGGAGAATTAATTTTGATGAACATACATTCAATTATTTTTGCATTTTGTGGTGAAAACTTTATCAGCAGCTTGTGAACACTGTGTCATTTAAAAAATATTATATAAAGAGTTGAAATATTTATATATCTGCCACAAATTCACAGTGGAAATTAAATACTTTTTAAAATGACAGCTTTTAAGTGTTCGAAACGTCAACTGTTACTTTCCTATATTGATGGAGGAAGAACAACTGAGATACTATCAATAATTAAAAAAAAAAAATTATCAAGTTTCTCAGGATAGCTTGTGTTTCATTGTTAATGATATTCAAAGGAACATTATTCCGTTGTTTAATAAACGATGGACCAAGGTGTCACGGAAAGTATACGCTTTCTTATCTGAAAACAGTATTGGTTAGATTCGGAATATAGTGTTTTTTAACCAAAATCGAAAAACGCAATAACAGACCCCACGCCATTTACATCATTTGAAAAACGTAGAAGACCGTGCATGTCTTATGGAGATTTGTGAGAGACCAATAAAAAAAGAAAAAATTCCACTTTAGTTAAGGAAATTGGATTTGAGCATATTTTTAATGCATATCTTCAGGCATTACGTTCAATAGGAGAAGAAACAGAAGCAAAAATTGTGGAAGCATTAAGGATTGTCGAAAAAGAAAAAAAGGTCTCTATCTCGAGTTTTATGGAAAACACAAACGTTTTACTAACAGGTGAAGAAGCACTCAGCGTGTTTGTTGATTTACATTTAACTAAAGCACAATATTTATACTTGAGGAAGTTGACAGACGAAAAAAGCTGTTCCTTATTTCCACCTTATTACAAGTTGCATGAAGTTAGACAAACTTACTGTCCACCATTTTCTGCAATAGAAATTACGAACACCCATGCAAAATTTATGGAACTGCAAGATTTATTGGATCACACTGTAGATAGAATTTTGACTATAGATTCCGTATACAATAATAAACTTAAACAACTAATTTTTTATTGTAAATGGGGATCCCAGATAGCACACTTACATTAAGCCAACTAATGTAAAACCATCGCCAACGTCGGCTATTTTTTCCAATGCAAAACCAACCTTGATCCAATGTCATTTGGTTAATGATAAAATTATTACCGACAGAACTAAAAACATCTGGCAAATTTACATTGGTCCAATGTATGTAAAAACATCGCAAAAAATTGATTGTTTTTACAACCTAAACCCAATGTTGATCCAATGTATATATTTCGGCGTTGATTCAATGCAATCAACGTTTTTCCAATGTATGTAAAAACATCGAAAAAATTTGATTGTTTTCACGATCTAAACCCAACGTTGATCCAATGTATTTATCTCGACATTGATTCAATGTATATAAATCAACGTTGATCCAATGTATGTAAATACATCGCAAAAAGTTGATTGTTTTTACGAACTAAACCCAACGTTGATCCAATGTATACGACCAAACATTGCTATTGCTAAATTATATAACTTAAATAAAATCTTCCGTGATTATTAAAATATCAAACCACAATCAATACAAACATGATTTTTGTTCCAATAATCAAGCGTCAAAATTAACAGAATTTAATGAAAATTTATCTCCAAATAAAATTGAATGCTACGTTTTACCAACGTTGAAACAACGTAAAATACAATGTTGGGCCAACGTATAAAATAAAGCGGTGAATCGACGTAGAAAATTTAATTAGTTTCCGACTTTAAATAAACGTTTTATCAACATTGGTGATTAGTTGTTGGCGACGTCGCATTTGTAACCATAATGATATAAAAACAACGTTGGCAGGCGATGTTGGGCCAACGAAACGCGCGATATTGTTCTAATTTTTTAACAACGTATGTGTACTAGCTGGGTTGTGATGGCTATACACATACGTTGTTAAAAAATTACGTCAGATTTCATCGGAAGTTTCTGCTTGTGATACAAGCAGAAACTTCCGATGAAATCTGAACTTATTTCTGATGCAAATTTATTTATTAGTTTATTCTTTGGTACTTTATTATATATATATATATATATATATATATATATATATATATATATATATATATATATATATATATATATATATATATATATATATATATATATATATATGTATTAGATTATTCTTTGGTACCGATTAAATTAGTTGATGAAGTAACTAGCACAGTTGTTTGGCAAAAACCGGCTCCTTCGTCTGAACGTTTTTGTCGACCTGTGTGGCATAATCGGTATCAGTATCGGTGGCATAATCAGTATCGGTGGCATTAAGTGGCATAATCGGTATCAGTATCGGACAAAACAAGTGCAACCAAATAATGCTAATTCAGTTTCTTTATATAAAAGTGCTGCATTTTTTCAATTTAGAGAAATAACTATGTAACTGTTTA